ATAGATAGATAGATAGATAGATAGATAGATAGATAGATAGATAGATACTGTAACAGAGAGAGGAGGAGGAGGCACAGCCAGAGAGTTTAACCCAAAAGTAGAATTATAAAGGGAATAATATCCATCTAAACAGGAATAAGACAATCAGTCATTTACATGGATTCAGTTAAAGCATACTGTGCTAAAGTGAGTAATTATAGCCCAGTTCTAACATCTCCTACAGCCATCCTCCGCCTCTCCATCATGGGTTAAAGTAAAGCTCATGTCAGCTCTCACAGCTCAAAGAAATGTTTATTCGTACAGAGGCAGTCGTAATTGAATTGGGAAGTTGTTGAGAAGAAGAGTGTGGAAGAAAGTAGGATTAGATTTCTAATGGGGCAACATAGGATGTGTTGCCAACACCCCAAATTTTTAAACTCGGGGTAAATGAAGACGTTCGGGTTCAGGTTCTTCAACTCTGAGTCAGATTTAGTCAGATACCGTGGCGATGATATCAGAGGTGAGGAGTGGGTCATTTTGTTCTGAAAATGGAGTTAATTATGGAAGTAAATATGTGCCATCAGAATTTGAATAAAAAATACCTCTGAAATTTTAATGTTGTATATTAGTGCTTACTTTTTCAGTATCAAAATAAATTCAGAATATATTTTTAACCTAAAAAAAATTCAATGTCATTATTTGTACATTAAAAAAAAAAATCAGTGTAATTTTTTTTTTACATGGTTGCAATTTTCAGTTATAAATTCATATTCTTATTTCAAAGTGATCAAATTTTCAATATACATATTTTTCACAGTTTAAATTTTCAGTGTTAAAAAATTCAGCATATAAAAAATTCAACTTTTCAAAATTCAAATGCAATATTTTCGTTGTCCTCCAATTCAACTTGCTCAAATTCGCTGTCTCAAATTCAGCGTCTAAAAATTCGCTGCCTGGGTGATACTGGTACTTCTTCAATATGACGGTTGTGTCACGTGATTCGGAAATTTCCGAGGGATTTTTTATTCAAATTCTGATGGCACATATTTACTTCCATATGGCACATATTTGCTTCCATAGTTAATGTCCTGTGGGTTTAGTACCGTACTTGTGCCCGTGTGGTAGCAGGTCTTGTGCATTTTGCACTTGAAGAGCTCCAGCCCCATGATGGAGTAAATGGTGACCATGAACAGGACCAGTAAGGTGATGTGGAACAGAGGCAGCATGGACTTCAGGATGGAGTTCATCACCACCTGGAGGCCTGGAAGGGAATTATCATATTTAGATTAGCACTGGGTAGGATTTATTTTGTTTTCATGTTAAGATGAAATACAGTGGGGGAAATAAGTATTTGAGCCCTTGCTGATTTTGCAGGTTTGCCCACTTACAAAGAATGCTTATTTTTCCTCATCAGATGCTTATCAATTTTGATAAATTCATATGATGTGATTTTCTGGAATTTTCTTTGGGATTCTGTCTTTTACTGTTAGAATGTACATATGATTAAAGTTATAGATCGTTGCATTCTTTGTAAGTGGGCAAACCTGCAAAATCAGCAAGGGCTCAAACACTTATTTCCCCCACTGTAACAGGAACACAGATTGATGACGGACTACACATTTATTCCACCTGGATTTCCATTTTTGTTTTAGAAATTAAGGTCTGGTATAATTGATTTAATTAAAAGACTAGACACTTTTATTTTCTCAAGTTCAGTAACTCATTCTCACTTCTAACCTAAAAAACTGAAATAAACTGAACTTATAAGTAATTCAAAATTCAGAACTATGAAGATGACCAGAGCATTTTTAACCTTTATGGACTTTAAACTTTTTCATGAGAAGCAGGAACTTGTAAAATACTGTATAAATGCTGCTGTCCACCTGGATAGTTCTGATCTGACCACAGATCTTCTAACTGACATATTGATACCTCTAAAGACTTTTAAAATCAATATTAACAAATTTCATCGAGTTGGTTGGAAGCCAGTTTAATATACAGACATTTTACCCCACAATTCACAACCTAAAGAGCCCAAACAGTTAATATGCTTCTGGTCATACAGTAATAAAACGTCTTACTCAGAATCAACCACAATAATAATAATAATAATAATAATAATAATCACAATAATAATAAAAAATAAAAATAATAATAATGATGATGAGAAGAAGAAGAAGAAGAAGAAGAAGAAGAAGAAGAAGAAGAAGAAG